GTTATGCAAGGAGTCAGAGAAAATGAGTGAGATTCTTAATGAGTACTTTGTGTCGGTATTCACTGAGAGAGGGACATGACGGATGTTGAGGTTAGGGTAGATCTTTGATTACTCTAGGTCAAGTCAGCATAAGGAGGGGGGAAGTGTTGGGTATTCTAAAAGGCATTAGGGTGGACAAGTCCCCAGGTCCGGATGGGATCTATCCCAGGTTACTGAGGGAAGCGAGAGAGGAAATAGCTGGGGCCTTAACAGATATCTTTGCAGCATCCTTGAGCACAGGTGCGGTCCCGGAGGACTGGAAAATTGCTAACGTTGTCCCCTTGATTAAGAAGGGTAGCAAGGATAACCCAGGTAATTATAGACTGGTGAGCCTGACGTCAGTGGTGGGGAAGCTGCTGGAGAAGATACTGACGGATAAGATCTATTTACATTTGGAAGAAGATGGGCTTATTAGGGATAGACAGCATGGTTTTGTGCAGGGAAGGTCATGTCTTACCAACTTGATAGAATTCTTTGAGGAAGTGACAAAGATGATAGATGAGGGAGAGGCTGTGGATGTCATATACATGGACTTCAGTAAGGCATTTAATAAGGTTCCCCATGGTAGGCTGATGGAGAAAGTGAAGTCGCATGGGGTCCAGGGTGTACTAGCTAGATGGATAGAGAACTGGCTGGGCAACAGGAGACAGAGAGTTGTAGTGGAATGGAGTTTCTCAAAATGGAGAACTGTGACCAGTCGTGTTCCACAGGGATCTGTGTTGGGACCACTGTTGTTTGTGATATACATAAATAATCTGGAGGAAGGTATAGATGGTCTGATTAGCAAGTTTGCAGATGACACTAAGATTGGTGGAGTAGCAGATAGTGAAGGGGACTGTCGGAGAATGCAGCAGAATATAGACAGATTAGCGAGTTGGGCGGAGAAATGGCAGATGGAGTTCAATCCAGGCAAATGCAACGTGATGCATTTTGGAAGATCCAATTCAAGAGTGAACTATACGCGAAATGGAAACGCCCTGGGGAAAATTGATGCACAGAGAGATCTGGGTGTTCAGGTCCATTGTACCCTGAAGGTGGCAACACAGGTGGATAGAGTGGTCAAGAAGGCATACAGCATGTTTTCATTCATCGGACGGGGTATTGAGTACAAGAGTTGGCAGGTCATGTTACAGTTGTATAGGACTTTGGTTCGACCACATTTGGAATAATGCGTACTGTTCTGGTCGCCACATTACCACAAGGATGTGGATGCTTTGGAGAGGGTGCAGAGGAGATTCACCAGGATGTTGCCTGGTGTGGAGGGTGCTCGCTATGAAGAGAGGTTGAGTAGATTAGGATTATTTACATTAGAAAGACGGAGGTTGAGGGGGGACCCTACAAAAGATCTACAAAATCATGAGAGGTATAGACAGGGTGGATAGCAAGAAGCTTTTTCCCCAGAGTGGGGGACTCATTACTAGGGGTCATGATTTCAAGGTGAGAAGGGAAAAGTTTAAGGGAGATATGCGTGGAAAGTTCTTTACGCAGAGGGTGGTGGGTGCCTGGAACACGTTGCCAGCGGAGGTGATAGAGGCGGGCACAATAGCGTCATTTAAGATGTATCTAGACAGATACATGAATGGGCAGGGAGCAGAGGGATACAGATCCTTGGAAAATAGGTGACTGGTTTAGATAGAGGATCTGGATTGGCGCAGGCTTGGAGGGACGAAGGGCCTGTTCCTGTGCTGTAATTTTCTTTGTTCTTTGTTCTTTGAAGGGGTTCCATTTGATTCAGGTGAACTGTAATCACATTTCCACTTTCTAAAGGTGTGTGCCACCTACCTTGGCACCTATATCTGGAGTACTCTTGTGTACATGGTGCATCTGAGGGTTAGAACATAGAACACAGAACATTACAGCGCAGTACAGGCCCTTCGGCCCTCGACGTTGCGCCGACCTGTGAAACCAATCTGAAGCCCATTTAACCTAAACTATTCCGTTATCATCCATATGTTTATCCAATGACCATTTAAATGCCCTTAAAGTTGGCGAGTCTACTACTTTTGCAGGCAGGGCATTCCACGCCCTTACTACTCTCTGAGGAAAGAACCTTCCTCTGACATCTGTCCTATATCTATCACCCCTCAATTTAAAGCTATGTCCCCTCGTGCTAGCCATCACCATCCGAGGTTCAGGTGTCTTTTAAACTGGTTACTGTGAGATAAAGGCTACCCACTGTGGCCATAGCTCATGAGACCAGCATGCCACTCTCTGACTGATGCATTGATATAATACTGCCCAAGCCTCAACTGGAGCCATGGTGGAGCAGGTGACAGGTCTGATGAAGAGACTGTTCCATTTCTTGGACAGGTCTGAGGAATCCTCCAACATAGTCCGTTATCCTGCATGTTGTGTTCTGTAAAATTGAAGCATCATATCTCATGTGCAGGATGCTGAGGAACAAGGTGAATGGGAGCATTTACAGAGGAGGAGGATATTATGGAGGAGGAATCTATTCTTCTCCATGGCAGTTTGGCAGCATCAGCTGCTACAAATGGACAGAACCTCACTGACATAAAAACAAAAACAAAAACTCAATTGTTCTGGTAGCATCTGTGGAGAGGGAAAAACAGACTTTTTTTATTCCTTCATGGGATAATGGCCATCTCTGGCTAGGTCAGCATTTGTTGCCCATCCTAATTGAATCTTAATTGGTAAGGAGATCTAGGGTTAAAGGGAGAATGCAGGAGAATGGGGTTGAGAAACATATGAGCCATGATCAAATGGTGAGGCAGACTCAGTGGGCTGAATGGCCTGAAGCCTAATTGTGCTCCTATGCCTAAGGTTTAACAGAGGGCAGTGAAAAGTTAACCACATTGATGTGGGTCTGAAGTCACATTTTGGACTAAGCAGGTAAGGGCAGCAGTGTCCTTCCCTAGGAGACATTAGTGGACTTGATGGGTTTTTAAAACAATCAATGGTAGTTATGACCAGCAGTAGACTCCAGTTTTAAAAACTGAATTCCAGGTTTTTTTTAATTAAATTCAAATTCTACCTGTTATGGACCAGACCAAACCCCTTTAAAACATATCAAGGAGATAGCCTAAACCCTAAACTTCTCTTATTTTAAAGGAAAGTACCAGGTGTTGTGTTCCGGATGCAATTTGATTGAAGCAAAACACACTTTATTCATACACCATAGTTAAAATGCAGACAAAATAGAAATAAAAAAGAAGAATTGGCTTAACTTTAAATCTGTTGAAATACTTGACAAAATAATAAACTACTCATTAACTGTTCCAATGTAGTAACATTCCATAAGCACACAAAGGCAAAGTCAGTAAAATAAGGTAGTTTCACATGTGCTTCTAGCAGCAGGTAGGGAACACTTGCTTTTAGCTGTAGCAAAGAGATAGAGAGAGATGTAGCAGATTTCACAACCTCAACAGCTACTGAAAGTCAAACTAAAAAATTCTGCTTCTGTGGGAGCTTGACCCCAACCCATTCAGGCTGCTTCTGCTGTTCCAATTTTTTTTAAAAAAACCAAGGCTTCACAGGCTTTATTGGCTTGAAGCAGACTGCACTTCATCCTGCCTTAACCTCCCTTCATTAAAAAAAAGGACAATTTACACCTCTTAAAGCCATAGTATCGTCACACACCATCTGCCAGGATTTGAATCCAGGTCCCCAGGACTTTACCTGGATCTCTGGATTAAGAGTCCAGTGATTATACCACGAGGCCATCACCTATGTTTCAAATATGATATGACTGTGCTTCAGAACCACTATGACACCTGTTTCCAATAGTTGAGAACTGGGTGCAGCCAACCATTTTAGACTGAAAAATATTAATTGGTTGTGATCGATGTTCCATCTAAGCTGAATGGCTGTGCAGCTGCTTGGAGATTCCACAAATGCAATCAGCATGAAAATACATTGACTTCTATAGTAAGAACAAATAAAATAATTTTGATAACATTTGAGGTAGTAACTCTTCCAGAAGAAGAAATTTATAACAGGCTCAAGTATTATTAAATCAGCTGTTTTCAACCTATATCCTGAAGCAGCACATTGTCATCCTATGTCAACACAACAACTACGTACATTTAATGTCTGTGGTTTGAACCCAAAATTTCCTCTGTTCTTACTGGATCAGATTGCTGTAACTTGGATTTAAGATTACATTTTTGAATTGAGAATTCTGTCCCAATTTATATCCTCTGAATCTTAAGAATTGCATATCACTACTTCATTATTACTTCCAAATTTTGAATTTGGATTTATCTAAGCTTGGCATACATTTGAAGCATTTATTAGAATCACTGATATTTTGTTAAGATCTTGCTTGGTAGAATGTGTGAAATGTATAGCTGAATGTGAAGCAGTGTTGTCATGAGTGCATGCACAACAGGCCTGTGAATGACACAAAATATGACAATACAACATAATTAATTTAAAAATATTGAAATTAGTAATGAAAATGTAGCACAAATTAATGGCTTGTTTTTGCACATGGGAAATTGTTTTAAAACTATCTTGCTTCTGCTGTTGTTATTTCAAATAAAGTACAGCAAAAACCCCATTTATGGATAACTGGAGTGTCTGTTGCTGCAGGGATGAAGTTATGGCAGTGATGTCAATACTGTTTCCAGGAATTTCTCAGTAATAGCACGGTTTTCGACTCATCAATATGAGAGACACTATATTTTGAACAGACTGATAAGCAGTGGCAATAAGTTATTTTTAGCCAACTGAAGACTTTATTTTCTAATTTATGTATTTTATAAATATTGTCCTCAAACAAACAAAAGTAATCATTGTAGATTCTAAAATTTCCATTTGGTTGAAATGAGTTTTTGTACTGAAATGACTGGCCTCAGTGGCTCCAGTGATGTGAATCGAACAATTATGTTGATACAATTTGGAAATGCAAATTTTTAAATATTAGTGTGGAGTATATTTTGTTTCTTTGTTATTTGTAATACATTCTTAGTAACTTTTTAATATATTTTTAATTGCAGCTGGGCATTCATGGATATGCTTTTGCAATCACAAACAATGGTTATGTCTTAACACATCCAGATCTAAGACCACTGGTAAGAAACAGAATCAAAGATCTATTAAGAACTGATAAAGCATGAACCTGTTGTTTATGGATTTAGCAGCATACTTCATAGTGTGATGGGAGGAGAAGAAGCCATCGTGAGAGATGCTTTAGCTACATTTGAATAGATAAGAGTCTCATCGAACTAAATAACTGAACAGGAGTGTTGGAGGAGAATGGGGCAGTCAATCGAGTCAAAGAAGAGACTTTTTGGAGGATGAGTAGGCATAACAGCAGTGTCACAGAGGATGTTGATTGCGATTTTGGTTAAAACCATCTCAGTCCTGTGGGAGAGGCAGAAACCCTATTAGAGATATTCAGACAGATGAAAACAAGTCCAATGAAACAGAAAAGGCTTTTTGGAGGAATCATCCATCTATTATTCAATCGGAGCATATTTGGTAGTCAGTCTGATGCTGAATTATATGATCACATTCACATATATATGCATTTAAGAACTGCTTTATATTATTGTGAAACCTAATATGAAAATTGTCTGTTATAATTTATTAAATGGTATGATTATTTTGAGATTACTTCGTATTTTCTAGTTATATATATTGACATAAACGTTCACATACCTTTACATTCAATACTGTTTTAGTTATCAATATACTCTAATGTGCAAATGTACAGATGTAAGCTCAGGTTTAACATTAGGTGTGATTGTTACAGAAAACTTAAAAATGACAAGATTAATGTTGCTGTGCTGATTTTGGTGCAGAAATTTCATTCTGGCATTGAAAATATTTGCTGAAGACATTTTTTTTTAAATTCCCTGTTGTATCAGTTTTGCAAAATTGCATTTAAACAAATTAAGTCTTCAAGAACTACGTTAAAAAGTGCAGTTTTATATGTCTTACATTTAGTTATATGCTAGCAGATGCAGCAAAAGAAATGACAAAGGCAAGTTACATGTTACTACCCTTTTGGTTTCCACCATGAACTTTTTGATTAAGTTGATGTTTTAAACTGCTCAATGCAACTGACCACTGAATCAGGAGGTCCTCAAATGAATTTCTACAGACTGCTCCAAGAAGTGTTTAAAATTCATTTGCAAATGATTTTTCTGGAACCAGGAAGAGCAAGGTTGATTGTTATATTGGTATCAATATTAAAGTATATTAATTTGTGTATGAAGTGATGACCAAATACTAATTTTAAAATTCAGGTCTGCATTATCAAAATCATCTTAAATATCATGATTTGTCGACTTGAATAAGAAACACCATAAGTCATATTGGTGTGAGCATGTGAAGCAAATATCAAAATTATTTGTTATTTTCATTTTCAGTTGAAGCATTTAAACATATGAATCATTTTTTCAAAATATAATGACAATTTCAGATGGGTTTGACTTTTATTTGGGAACATCTTGAACGTAAAAATTTAACTGTAATTGGCCATTTTTGTTTTGGATCTACTGAACTGATAAAATCAGTAAGAACAATGACAAACAGTAGATTTTAGTTTGTGTTTCCCTTAATTGTTAACATTTAGAAAGAAAATACCAAAGCTACCTGTTAAAGATGCAAGATACATTCATCTTTAAAGGTAAATATTGGTAAATAGCTTGAATGCATTCACATCACATTTGATGACTTAGCGAAATATCAATCAAGACAGGACAAGTAAATCATTACTCAGCAAGATTTACAGCACTAATGTTATTCCTAACAATTCTCTGTAAACTGCCAACACCAAGAGTATTTAAGATTCTGTGAGCCTTCAAAATAACATTGTCACACCATAATTTATCTATTGAAGTCACATCAAGAGATGACCGCTGAAAGTGATTTAGTATCTAGATTACAAGCAGCTCACAGTGCAGTTGTCACAAAGCATTATTGCCAATCAACCATTATTATGTGGCAAATACAGATATTTATTTATTTATTTATCAATGCAGATTGCAATTGTAAATTAATTGCAGTGGAAAATTCAAATCCACATGCAAATTTATTCCACACAAGGGACTGGATTTTTGCTAGCAAGGTGGAGTGCTTGACTTGGTAAAGTTTCCGACTCAGGACACCTACCTCTGTTTAAAAGGCCCTCCTAGACTCAGTTTTTCCTCTGGGAGTTGGGAGCAGATCAAATCAGACCAATAAGTATTATAAACATTGCTCTATGAACATTAAAAATGCAGACTGTACTGTTGCTTAGCTTTAAAAAATACTGTTGGCCTGCTTTTATTGACAGGCCATCTGGTGCAGGTTACAAATAAACAGTAACATATGTTGATGTGGTTTAAATAGAACTGTTTATTCACGTTTCCCTAGGGGCTATTATTATGTCAATAAGAATGCTTGGTTCAGTTTCACAAGCTGTAATATCTCAGCAGGGGTTTCTAAGTTCATAATTTGTTTGACAATTTAAAGAGGCTGTCAAAGTACTATACGGGATTTAAGCACAAGGAATGTACAAACGTTCCAGCAGTATGATATTTTATTCCATTGGCATTAAACCTATCATACATTTGTGACAATGCTTTTGGTAAAAGAAATAACTTTTTGCAGAAATGATTGTGTCCCAACACTCTGGTCACACAAATGAAAACCATCAAGAGCTCAGTCAATCACGTTTTAACTTATTTGTAGGGTATTGGGAGGAGGGCTGCCTTGCATTTTGTAGAAGTGACACTTAGTGATCACAGCAGAGAAATAGATTTGGGATCCAGCACAGTTGTGGCACTGCTATGCACAGCACTGTGAGTCTTCAACATTGACTCCAGATCCTGTGAAGTCTTATAGCATCAGATCAACCACAGACGTGGAAACCTGGTGATTACCTCATACCGTCCTCCCTTAGCTGATGAATCTTACTCCTCTGTGTTGAACAACACTTGGAGGAAACACTGAGGAGTGGCAAGGGTGCAAAATGTATTCTGGGTGAGGTATTTCAATATCCTCCGCCAAGAGTAGTTCGGTAGCAGCATCACTGATCGAGCTGTTTGGGTCCTAAGGGATATAACTGCTAGACTGGGTCCGCAGCACATAGTGAAAGAGGCAAAAACATAGTCAACTTCATCCTTACCAATCTGCCGGCTGCATTGGTATCTGTCCATGTCAGTATCAGTAAGATACACAGTCCTTGTGGAGACAAAGTCCCGCCTCCATATTGATAATATCTTACATTGTGTTGTGTGGCATTATCACCGTGCTAAATGGGACAGGTTTTGAAAAGATCTAGCAACTCAAGTCTGGGCATCCGTGAGGTTCTGTGGGCCATCAACATAAGCGTAATTGTACTCCAGTACAATCTGCAACCTTATGGCCCAGCTTTCCACCTCTGTACTATTATCATCAAGGCAGGGATCAACCCTGGTTCAAAGGAGAGTACAGGAGAGCATACCAAAAGCAGCATACCTAAAAACAAGGTGTCAATACGTTGAAGCTACTGACCAGGACTACTCTGTGCCAAACAGCATAAGCAGCAAGCAAAAGACAGATCTGAGCTCTTCAATTCTTCTACATCTAGTCATGAATGGTGGTGGACAATTTAAATAGCCCACTGAAGGAGGTAGCTCCACAAATATCCTCATCCTCAATGATGGGAAAACCCAACACATCAATGCAAAGATAAGTCTGAAGCATTTGAAAAAATCTTTATGTTGTGCTGTTCCTAGCATTTCTCTTGGTGTTACTGACCACAAAAAAATCATGTCCATAGTTCCACAATTTGGTTAGATGCCACATTGGATTTTAAGAAGGAGTTCCTCAGAGACTGGGGAAAGGTGCCTAGTGAGGGTTCAGATGTTGGTCCTACTGACAATGGAGAGTAGGGAGATTTCTCTGTCATTCCCACAGTCCATTTGTCTCCTTTCTTGAAGACAGTGGTAATGGCATCATCCCTGAGATCAACATTCACATCACACAAATGCCAGGCAATGACCATCTCCAATAAGAGACGATCTAACCAATGCCCCTTGATATTCAATGTCGTCATTGTATCCCCCATTATCAACATCTTGGGGGTTACCATTGATCAGAAACTGAACTGGACTAGTCATATAACTACAGTGGTCAAAGGCTTGGAATACTACACCAAGTAACTCATCTCCTGACTCCCCAAAACCTGTCCAGCATTTACAAGGTGCAAATGCAGAGTGTAATGGAACATTCTCCACTGGGCCAAATGTACAGACACACAGCCAAATCAAATCAGTCTCCCTATCCCTGTGTTCACAACACAGTAAAATTATAACATTCAGTGCCCCTCAAAATTGACCCTAGTAGTTCCAAACCAGACTTTTTGAGTTACCAATACTAGATTTTGTGAGTAAACAATATCTGATATCAAACGGTGAGAATTAACATTTACTAAATATACAGGAGCATTAGTAGAGCAAAGTTAAACAACAAGGTAATCTAATGAATGTCTATGATTTAAACCCAATCTTCTTTGATCCCAGTCCCCATCCACCCAAAGACAGATCGGCAAACAGAATCAAAAGAAAAAAACAATGAATGAGATGTAACTGGCCAGTTCACTTAAGCAGACTCCACAATCTGTAATTTAACAGGCACATGGGATAGTATCTGACCAAACTAATGCACACAAAGATTTCTTGTTGTCAGGGCATTTTCTTTAGAATGTGATTCTGTGAATCTGACAATATTAGACTGTTGCTTGGCTCATCTCACCCAATGTTGGCACTAGCACTCAAATGTGCAAAATTAACAAGGCTGTATATTCCATTGTAATTTCCAGTGCCTAAGTTGAGATGAGTTGTCAACGCCGGCTGTATACCTTTGAAATTTTGTAGCTAAGTGACTTGTTCAGTAATTCTAGCAGGCTGTTAAGAGTTAACCACTATCAATCTGGTGTCACATGTCGTCCAGACCAGATAAGGACAATGAATTTCTTTCAATAAAGAGCATTAGTGAATTAGATGGTTCTTAGGACAATGGTTTCATCATTAAACTTCTATTTCCAGATTTGTTTTATTGAATTTAAGTTCATTATTACCTGGGTCACCAGATTACTGAT